TCAACCCTGAGCCGGTGAGATTTGAACCGCTGAACTGCTGATCTAGCAGTAGCCTGCAGTGCTGCATTTAACCACTGCGCCACCTTGGCTCTGATCCAGATTTATTGAGCAGGTTCTTCAAAAGGTAAGTGTAGGAATAAGCTTGTTTGTCAATAGCAACACACACACAGGCACACACACACAAATAAATAAATAATTTTTTTGGCTCCACTGTTAACTGATGGAGGACAACAAAGCTTGTGCAATTTATAAATAGATGTTATTTAAAAATTAATACTATACTAGATAAGCTAATGGTATATGAATTAATGTGTCTTACAGCCAATACATTAAAGTACAGTACAGCAAAGAGAAGGTCTTGAATAAGAACATTGATCTGCAGCCTTATCCATTAATAACTTTCTGCTTTGCTTATCGTACCAGGAACCTTTGCAACTTCTAAGTAATATATCGATGTAAAGCAAACTCACTTTGGAACCTCAAAAGACCATTCGAACTTCAACATACGACCCTTTGAAAGCAAAGAAATAGTCCATATTTCAATAACAGGAGGAAAAAAAAACATTCATTTTAAGTGTCAAGTGTTTCATACTGATAGAAGGCCATACAAAAGTAATATTAACATTGATGTCTTCAAACATGATCCTTGGCCTGAAATCAAAAATAATCCCATGGAAGTATTACCTCTACAATATAACGTTTATTTGTTCTGTGCGTACACATAGTGTAATTAAAGAACGAACTGTTCAGAACGAGCATTGAGAAAATATTCTATTCAAGCTTTCCTTTAGTGCTACCCAAGAACTTTGCACCAGTTTGAAAACGGATCCAGTTCTCCCTTATTGCACAACATGGATTATTTTGGAGAGCTGGGTCAAATTTTTACTGCAGGCCACTTCAGCTGACTGCTATCTGCAGTTCAGCGGTTCAAATCTCACCGGCTCAAAGTTGACTCAGCCAGCCTCAGAGTCAGCATATCGCCCCCCACAGTCTGGGTCCTCATTTCACCCACCTCAGAAGGATGGAAGGCTGAGTCAACCTTGAGCCGGTGAGATTAGANTCTATTCTAACCTAACCTTCAGGTGCTTTGGAGAATAGGGTGACCCCTCTTCCTTGTGGTAGCCCCTTAGATATTGGAAGGGATTGCCACAAAGAAGAGAACCTCAAATAGCCTATTTGTTAAGAACCTCAAATAGCCTTTCTTCCCGCTCCTGTGATTCCGGCAGCCCTTCATTCTGAACCGGAATGGTCATCTCCTTCTTAGTATCTTTGCAGAATTGACACAAAGGGATGGCTCGGTTTGTGAGACCCGCTGCGGCTCTCCTGGCTAATGAGTACATTTCTGCAATATCAATTCTTTCTGGAGCATCCCTGCGCCCTGGAGTAGAATCACGCAGTAGCGTATGCCTTCCGGCATTGCCATGAAAAGACAAACATCGACAAGGAATTGCAGACAGGAATTGCTGAGAGCTATTTTTAAACCATTAAAGAGTACTTACAGGGCATTGGGGAATTAGAATTTCTCCTAATTCTATTAATAGTACTGGCGGAAACAATGGTTCGGGATGGACTCAGGAGGATGAGAAAGCAACAGATCTTTAATTCTCGCAGCAATTCCTTTCGGATCGAAAGCTCCAAATTACGCACGGTGAACGCTTCTGGAGAAAATGGAAGCTTTAAATGCAAAAGTAGGTCTTAAAAATAGCCCGGTTTTATACACCGTGGGTTTTCTTGCAACATTTCTTGCCTGAATAGACAAGAGAATATTGCACTGGGCAAGTAGGAAATAGTCTTCCTTCCAGGCATGCAGCATTTATGGTTATTATTCCTCCCTACAAGTTACATAATCAAAACGATTATAAATTGTTGCCGGCTATCTATTTTTGGCCCTTAGAATTAAGGCAATCTGAGCCACTGGATGTATTTCATCAGAAACGAACACACAATTTCCCCAAGTTATAGGTTGAACGTACTCAAACCTCGAGCTCCATTCATTGAGGCCCTCGTGACCTCAAGACTGGACTACTGCAATGCGCTCTNTTTAAAGCATGTTTCTTTCTTTTCACATCCAGAGAAATATTCTGCCTTTTCAATATTTCCTAGGATATTTCAATTTTTCTGGGAGAGGGCTGGGTGATAACTTCCCACAATACCTTATGAAGAACCTGTTCTTTGTTAACCTAATTCACGGTTTTTCTTTGTTTCTCCTTATTATCTTATTTACTTCCTTGAAAGATTAAGCTGTCTATATCTTTCAAGACCTTTGAAAGTACCCCAAGAGCTATACACAATGAAAGACGCCTCCTTGGGTTTTGTTTTCCACTGGAATGTTTTGTCTCTCCAAAGCTGAAGCTGGATTTAGCCGAAGTTCTTGTTTAACTTGGCTTAAACTATGTTGAAGCAAGTTTGCCAAAAGGATTAGGTTCCTGGCATCTTAGAACATGTCTTTGGCTTCTTCCAGTCTCCTCTGGCTGTTTTTTTTTCCTTTTTTCCCCAAAGTTTGTTGTGGCTTGAGGATTGTGCAATGGGACGTGTACAATATGGACATAAGTGGAACAGATGTGCGCTTTATATTCAGAGCACTTCCAATAACATCCGCCAAGCCGATGCCCTCGAAATGTGATGGAGCGTAGCTCCCAAAATTACCAGTTGGCAAGGCCAAAGGGCCCATATTGACTGTCAAGTAATGGAAGTAGTAATTGAAGACATCTGGAAAATAACAAGTTAGGAAAGGCAGACTAATAACTGTCTCAAATGTGAGCATTCTCTTGCCACACCAGTTTATTGTGCTATCAGATCTTCAGAACGTATTCTTCATTAAGTGTATTGATTGGAGACA